TCCACTATGTATATGGATTCGGGAGAATCATATAATAAAGACTACATTAGGTCGACATATATTCTTCTCAAGAATTGCAAAAGACCTTAGACTGGATCTAGAACCTAAGTCCATGCATGGTGGAGTGTCATAAGCACTCTGGTTGATCCACATGAAGGCAACAATTGAGGAGGCTCTCGCTCTTAAGAAGAGTGGGTATTGACCTAATCAGTAATACCCATTCCTTTGAATGTGTTCCCTGGGGGAGCACAGTTGGTTTTATTCATGGAAAGAATGACAAACAATGAGGTGGTGAGATATGAAGCGAGGCTTGTAGCACAGGGGTTCACGCAGAAACCAGTCATCGTTTATGATGAAACATATTCTCCTGTTATGAGTGGATAACATTCCGATATTTTATATCACTGACAGTAAATAATGAATTTATATATCCTATTGATGGATGTTGTGACTGCATAGTTGTATGGGTCACTGAATTCAGATATCTCTATGATAATTTCTTTGGGAATGAATATTCCGAGTTTAATCGCAACATGTGTTGCGTAAAGCTTTAGAAGTCATTATGACTTGAAGTAGTCAGCAATGATGTGGTAGAACTACTGAGTGAGTTCCTTTATTAAAAGGTTACTCAAACATTGAGGATTATTCATGTATGTTCATCAAGAAATCCAAAGAGGGATTTTGTACAATTTCTATGTATGTTGATGATCTGAGTATCATTGGAGCTACATAAGAGATACACGATACCATGATATCATCTTAAGACGGAGTGTAAGATGTAAGATTTGGTTGAGACCAAACTTTGCTTGAATTTCGAACTTGAGCATAGTCCTTCAGGAATACTTGTTCATCAGTCTACATTTATCCATAAGATTGTCGAAAGTTCAACATGGATAAGTCATATCCATTAAAGAACTATGGTTTTGATATCTCTGGATTACTAGAGATAAGGACCCATTAAGGCCTAATGGCAGTGATGAAGAGATATTTGGACTTGAGTTTCCATATAGCGGTGCAATGAGAGCACGGGTGTATCTAGCAAACTGCACCAGGCCTGGTATTTCATCAGCAGTAAATTTATTGGCTAGATACAATGCATCACTGATTAAAAGGCATTGGGTTAGTGTGAAGAATATTTTTAGATATCTTCTAGACACCATAGATCTTGGCTTTTTCTATGAGGAAAAAATCAAGATATGACCATGGTTGGATATTGTGATGCTGGGTATATATTAGATCCCTATAATCCTAGAGCACATACTAGTTTTTGTCTCCTCGAATGAAGGTGTGGCCTTCTCTAGGAAGTTGAGAAGATATATTTTAGTGACTGCATCCACTAATCAGTCGGAAATCATTCATTTGTATGAAGCATCACATGAATGTATGTGACTTCATAGAATGATGAACTTTGTTGAAAGTTCAAGTGGGATTGATTGGTTGGAATCACCCACCATTATCTATAAAGATAATGTTGTTTGCATTACACAGATGCAGGAAAGTTATAAAGAGCAAACTAGAACATGTATTGCTTTGAAATTATTTAGTCCCATAGATTCCCAAGAAAAGGAGAGCTAAATATTCTGCAAATGAAGTCATGTGATGATCTTGGTGATTTGTTCACTAAGTCTTTACCTAATTCTTCATTCCAGAAACATGTTAATGGAATTGGTATGAAATGACTTTGTTATTTACAAGGTTCAGGGGGAGCATGCTCCTGAACGATAACCTGTTCAAGATCTTCGAATCTTAAATGTTGCACTCTTTTTCCTTTATGAGTTTTTCAGAAAAAGTTTCTCATAGAAGGTTTTTAATGAGGCAATAGTAATGCAAACATTGTAATATGTCATTTTCTCCTTATTTTCCCAGTGGGTTTTTGGAAGGAGCTTTTCATGGCATATTGTATATTTCTCCTCAATTTTTCCTGCAAGGTTTTTGTTGGAGATTATTCCAAGGATGATAAGTCACAAGGACAAGCAAAGATTAGGGCGAGTGTTAGGATTTAACTATAATGCAATTGAGGTTAATCCTCCCTTGACATAGTGCATGTGTGGTTACTGGTTCGACAACCGTCACGACATCTCCACACACCCAACCATCGGATGCGTCTCTTGCATGCGTCTGCTCTCCTTGTATATATGATGTGACTATCAATGGAATTGACACGGTTCATTCATTCTTGCAATTGTTTACTAACAACTACGACCAAGAAATGCAACAAAGAGGACATCAGTGACCCTGTTAAAAGGGCCCGATACAACCGATGTGTCAAGCGAACTATTTTATCAATACGGCCTGTCGCACCAGAAGAGTCATGCGACCTACTACCGAGGCTGTGGAGGGAACGAGCGATGGAGATAAAGCCAGTCAGTATGCCACCGATACAGTTGGTAACACTAGAGGAGACGGAGAGCCTACGATTGATTCTGTGGAAGAAACAAACGAGAAAGATCTGTGATGACATGCTCACATGGATGGAGTTGATGTAGGAACTGCATGAGACACACGCCCTCGCGCATAGAAAACCATATATGAGAGACCGCTTGCATAAGTAGATTGATACGATAGAGACGCGTAAAGAAAACGAGTTGGAGAACATGGCGGCACGGATCTTCTATGAGGCAACACCAGAGGAATGAATTTAGTTGCAGCTATAAAACACACTATGTGATCTATTGAGATCTTACAATGGGCATTGACAGAGTCTAAATCCTCAACTCCAATCCAGCACGACAGGTGGGAGTGCATCATCGGAGTTCTGCCGACCTGTGTGGAACCGCCATGCGTAGATGGCATAATACACAATCATCATGGGGCATGGCATGTTAAAGAGACATTTGAATTAATCCTTAGCAAGTTTAATTGGAGTTTGGATCAAAGTGAATTTGATCCAAGTGAAACTCGAAATGCACTTATTTTGTCAACGATATATAAATACTAAACAATATCAGAAGGTGGGGTTGATGCTTGATCATGGCAAATACATGTTCTACACATTATTCTAGCAAGAAACCCTACAATTGACCCAGTTTTTGTATTTCCGTGATCAGCCAAAGAAGGATATGGGCAACGATTATTGGTGTCTCTCCTTGGTGAATACACAGGACAGATACAAACACAATGCAAATATAATCACTTACAAGACGAGAAAAATGCTTCAAATTGTACACCTAAAATTTTGGTTGCATTAGGTGCTTCACTTCTTGGATGAAGTTGGTCTTTGCGTCAATGGTGCAACATATCATATTTTCATAAAAGGAACGCTTGCTATATGTGCCTCCGATAGATTGTGTGCTTCTTTCCAGGCGGCGGGATTTGATGAGGATATTATACGTTGCTACCATCTGTTGCCTCTATTTAAATGAAGAGGACCATGGCCTTCCCGAACCCTGCCTGTTGTGAGCCCTACTCGAACAATGGCTCTCGCCTGGGCTATATACAAATATGTTATCATGCTGCCCGACTCTTCTTCTTTTATGTTTTTCACTCCACTCTCTTGTGCCTTTGGCTCACCTTTATTGTACAGGTCTCCTGTGCACATTCCTTGCCTGGTCTGCTTTGGAGGCATCGGGCACCTGATGCCCACTGCTGCCCTATGCAAGCAAGAAAGGGAGGATCGGGGTCGACTAACCTGGTCCGTGATGCTAAACATCTGGGCACCTAGGACCTGGATAAAAGCGATGCACAACACAAGGGCATGAAACAAGTGGCCTGACCATACACAAACAAAGACGACTTCCCAAACACCTGCCTTCCACCCTGCTCACCCACGCATGCTTGGCTCGAGGCCCGGGACATTCACCTCACTTTGATGACATGTGAGGTTGTGCATCCCATAAGGGCACAACCTATCCATCAAATTGGTCATATGGTTTAGCAACAATGAAACTAAGGAAGAGAAAATTCCCTGCATCTTTGTGGTGGAGCACGAAGATCATCATGTCTCCAATATCCACGATGTACACCTTCAGTACTTTCCTCCACCCATTAAGGAGGATGCGTCCATCATTTGCTCATGAGGTCCATTATGAAGTTGATTTAATATTGACACTAGGATGGAGAACAACATTCATCTCATCATTTGCATCCATTGGAATGATCTCTCTCATCGTAATGATCCATAAGCATCCAAATTTTATCAAAAAAGCCGATGACGAATCACATCCCTTCCCAGCTTAATCTGGCGCCGTTAGTCATCTCCATGTTCTTTACAAATGTTTTGTTACAATATCAAGTTCATAATAAGCTGCCAAATTATCTATAAACATGACTAGTTTAATATAGAGCCCAAATGTAATGTGATTCACAGTTAGTTAGGGAAAAAGATCCATCACACACAGAGTTTCATGTCATCAAAAGTTAATCGCCAGGGGAAGCTATGGGCAAGGATGCTTGTCAAAGAAAATAAGAACGCACCATGAGCATAATCATTTGGAAACAGTAGAGGAAAAAAACCCTTCAAATAGTTTGTTTAACTTCTAGACTGCAGCTGGTCTCTATGCCAATTGGTGCAATGGGTCATCTAGTCAATATAGGTTCCACCACACAATCAATAGTTATCAATGCAATGAAAGTTAAATCAATAAAATTAGTTGAAAGCGGTTTCGTGAAAATCTCGTGTGTGCTTGATATTGATTTGATCATTATAAGTACTTCAACCGACTTGTCTTTAAGCATTATTAAGGACTGGGTCACTTTCTGCACAATTGCACTTTTGTTATAAGGTATGTTCTTGTGATCAAACCAACTATCAAACAATGTTTGCAGCTTTTACAGTGGTTCCTTATTAGTTTCCATCAACCAATTCCTTCTCCTCCTCGGATATCTCTACACTCTTACTTGTCGAAAAGGGCTACAACAGATGTCCTACATTGGTGTGGGTTATGATGACTCGGTTTATCCACCACTATACATTTTAGCATGATAAAATCAAAACAATTACGTATCCAAGTTGACAAATTATTAGATTATGGAAACTTTATTTATAATTGTACAATATATATTTAAACAAAAGCACCAGGTCCACCATAGTAAGTATGCACACCATAGTCATTATATCCATAACCATAAGCCTTCGCAGTATATTTTGATGAACTGGTGATGACAAGACGGGCTTTCCTGGCATCTGGATTAGCATACTTGTTTTCATTATCTACAACTAGGATATTTCTTACAACTGCTGCTTTTCCACGTTCTTCGGAAGCAAAATGACCACTACCCATCTGTGGAGAGTCTGACGAAGCAGTCGGGCCTTGAACATACCCACCCCATAATGCGTAATTACATTGATCCCTCATGAAATGGAAAATTTCCTTTGGCCAATATCCAATATGTATGTTTTTTTCACCGTAAGACACCCACCAATGTTTAGTCACCGGGTCCTAGAATAAATCAAGGTTCATGGTCAACACTTCAATAGACTTGAAATGAATACCAGTCGATCAAATGTTTGTGTTGAATTGAAATCATCCTTATAAGTGTATACCATATTAACATCAATATACAATGAAAGTGATATTTGTTACTCCCCCCTCTATGTCAAAATATTTTCTTAAATTTAAAGTTTTTAGTAAGATTGTGATATCTAATGGTTTGGCGACCTATAAGTTTGGTTTAAGCAATGTCTTCAGGTTTTCATCAAAATATAATTATTGTATTTCATACGACAAAATGAAATACAAGTATCAACAAAAATATTAACATGAGAATACCTTGAAAATGGCAACATCTATGATGTATTGTGGTCCGCTATAGATAGAAACTGGTTTAAGTCTTCCTCCTAGACCAACACTTGAGCTAACTTGTACGAAAGCGCCACAATCATGATCAGGGCAAATTCTGTTCTTTAAGCCATCAACCTTTAAAGAAAATGTGTTCCAAGGTCAATAACAACTATGTCATTGTAAGTCACTCATACTAATTAAATTGAAGAATGCACATCCAAGGAAATAGTTACGGATTACCCAAGCAACGTGAAACCTAGCAAGGCTGTCACCACTGTAGCTTGGATATACCCAAGAACCAGCACCTATCCCATCTGCAAGGCCTACTTTTTGTATCCCTTTAATCTGTATCCATGATGCACTTAGATCCTTACTATTATTCTTCACCTTAGGTTCATAGATATTTATTTTAGCTCGCGTTCCGTATAGCACATCTAGATACTCAAATCCTGCAACCTGCAAGCCCAAATAATATATTGGTTTGTTCATAATGAAAATACAAATGCTTATTAAACATAAGAAAGTTTGACATTGCATAACAAAAATTTGATGAACACCACTTAATGGTGCCACTAAGGCAAATGTTGACCAAACACTTTGACAAACTTTCATCCACTCTAATGGCAACACAAATATCAAATGTAAAAACTAAATTGGTTTATACTTTTCAAAATCAATTCTTTCCATTTACTTATTGGACTACCTTGGACCATCTATTTCATTCAAAGTATGAATTTAATGTGATAAAATCCTAGAATACAGTTAGATAATTATTGGTGTCACATGTGGATTGAAAGGAAATAAAACTGTTGTGTATTCAAGAACTCCAAGTAAAAGTCAATATCAATATAATCTACCATGATAAACGAATCACTCCAAAATTATATTGAAACTCACCTCCTGTTGTTCATTCTTGCTATTCACTTTGTTAATAGCTTGTACTAGCTTGTGGATCCTTCTGTTCTTGCGCAATATTGGAATCATTCCTGTAGGGCACTCAATCAAAGACAATTGGGCTGGTGGCCTAGCATGAATCGACGGGGATTTGGTTGAAACACTCTGTGGGAAAGAGCTTGGTTCCATCTATTTAATTGGAAAATTTTAATCAACATATAATTTAAGAAAATCTTGATCAAAATTGTGCGTGTGCGTGTTTGTGTTATAATGCATAATTAAATATATCCCCACAATTAGTGTAATTCACATTTTTGATTATTTGGTGATCATATCAAAATGTTGTATATTCCTGTTCTAAATTATAAAGAGAACATGAAGAACAATTTAACAATGCTAGATGTGCGGCAAAATCTTGTTTATGAAGGATTACTATAAACACCAAAATTCCAAAATATTGCTACCATGATTACATATACTACCTAGCTACATGCCACTAATTATTTCAAATAACTTACCATTCCTTTATGGATTGAAATAAGAACATATACAATTGACTTAGACACTATATGAATTTTATAATCTGTTGATTATAAAAAAACTTGCCTGGATTTTATGGCGTTTTAGTAGTGGATGGCTAAAGGCTGGTTGTAGGTTCACGTCGTTGCAGTCATATACATCTCCTCTATCAACCTATTATTGTATCTCCTCAACTCAATAAACTCAAAATTGATGATAGTTATACATGTTGGGGAACGTAGCAGAAATTCAAAATTTTCCTACGTGTCACCAAGATCTATCTATGGAGAGACCAGCAACGAGTAGAAAGAGAGTGCATCTACATACCCTTGTAGATCGCTAAGCGGAAGCGTTCAAGTGAACGGGGTTGATGGAGTCGTACTCGTCGTGATTCAAATCACCGATGATCAAGTGCCGAACGCACGGCACCTCCGCGTTCAACACACATACAGCCCGGTGACGTCTCCCAAGCCTTGATCCAGCAAGGAGAGAGGGAGAGGTTGAGGAAGACTCCATCCAGCAGCAGCACAACGGCGTGGTGGTGGTGGAGGAGCGTGGCAATCCTGCAGGGCTTCGCCAAGCACCGCGGGAGAGGAGGAGTACTTGTGAGAGGGGGAGGGCTGCACCAGAACTTCGTCTATAGCTCCCATGCGCCTCCCCACTATATATAGGGGTGGAGGGGCTGGTTTCTTGCCCTCCAAGTCCATTGGGGCGTTGGCCAAGGTCGGAGGAAAGAAATCTCATTATTTCCTTCCCCACCGATTGTTATCCCCCCTTTTTAGGGATCTTGATCTTATCCCTTCGGGATATGATCTTATTCCTTCTAAGGGGGGATCTTGGTGCGCCTTGACCAGGGGTGTGGGGCCTTGCCCCCACTACCCACGTCCATGTGGGTCCCCCCATGCAGGTGGGCCCCACTCCGGAACCTTCTAGAACCTTCCCGGTACAATACCGAAAAATCCCGAACATTTTCCGGTGGCCAAAATAGGACTTCCCATATATAAATCTTTACCTCCGGACCATTCCGGAACTCCTCGTGACGTCCGGGATCTCATCCGGGACTCCGAACAACATTCGGTAACCACATACAAACTTCCTTTATAACCCTAGCGTCATCGAACCTTAAGTGTGTAGACCCTACGGGTTCGGGAGACATGTAGACATGACCGAGACGTTCTCCGGTCAATAACCAACAGTGGGATCTGGATACCCATGATGGCTCCCACATGTTCCACGATGATCTCATCGGATGAACCACGATGTCAAGGACTTAATCAATCCCGTATTCAATTCCCTTTGTCTATCGGTATGTTACTTGCCCGAGATTCGATCGTCGGTATCCAATACCTTGTTCAATCTCGTTACCGGCAAATCACTTTACTCGTTCCGTAACACATCATGCCATGATCAACTCCTTGGTCACATTGTGCATATGATGATGTACTACCGAGTGGGCCCAGAGATACCTCTCCGTTTACACGGAGTGACAAATCCCAGTCTCGATCCGCATAAAACAATAGATACTTTCGGAGATACCTGTAGTGCACCTTTATAGTCACCCAGTTACGTTGTGACGTTTGATACACCCAAAGCACTCCTACGGTATCCAGGAGTTACACGCTCTCATGGTCGAAGGAAGAGATACTTGACATTGGCAAAGCTCTAGCAAATGAACTACACGATCTTTTGTGCTAGTCTTAGGATTGGGTCTTGTCCATCACATCATTCTCCTAATGATGTGATCCCGTTATCAACGACATCCAATGTCCATAGCCAGGAAACCATGACTATCTGTTGATCACAACGAGCTAGTCAACTAGAGGCTCACTAGGGACATATTGTGGTCTATGTATTCACACGTGTATTACGATTTCCGGATAATACAGTTATAGCATGAATAAAAGACAATTATTATGAACAAGGAAATATAATAATAATACTTTTATTATTGCCTCTAGGGCATATTTCCAACAGTCTCCCACTTGCACTAGAGTCAATAATCTAGTTCACATCGCCATGTGATTAACACTCACAGGTCACATCGCCATGTGACTAATACCCAAGAGTTTACTAGAGTCAGTAGTCTAGTTCACATCACTATGTGATTAACACTCAATGAGTTTTATGTTTGATCATGTTGCTTGTGAGAGAGGTTTTAGTCAACGGGTCTGAACCTTTCAGATCCGTGTGTGCTTTACAAATCTCTATGTCATCTCCTAGATGCAGCTACCACGCTCTATTTGGAGCTATTCCAAACAACTATTCTACTTGGAGCTATTCTAAATTATTGCTCCATTATATGTATCCGGTCTCTCTACTTAGAGCTATCCGGATAGGTGTCAAGCTTGCATCGTCGTAACCTTTACGACGAACTCTTTTACCACCTCCATAATCGAGAAAATTCCTTAGTCCACTAGTTACTAAGGATAACTTTGACCGCTGTCCTGTGAGCCATTCTTGGATCACTCTTGTACCCCTTGACTGACTCATGGCAAGGCACACTTCAGGTGCGGTACACAGCATAGCATACTGTAGAGAGCCTATGATAAAAGCATAGGGGACGACCTTCGTCCTTTCTCTCTATTCTGCCGTGGTCGAGATTTTAAGTCTTAACTTCATACCTTACATCTCAGGCAAGAATTCCTTCTTTGACTGATCCATCTTGAACACCTTCAAGATCATGTCAAGGTACGTGCTCATTTGAAAGTACTATTAAGCATTTTGATCTATCTTATAGATCTTGATGCTTATTGTTCAAGTAGCCTAATCCAGGTTTTCCATTGAAAAACAGTTTTCAAATAACCCTATATGCTTTCTAGAAATTCTACATCATTTCTGATCATCAATATGTCGACAACATATACTCATCAGAAATTCTATAGTGCTCCCACTCACTTCTTTGGAAATAGAAGTTTCTCATAAACTTTGTATAAACCCAAAATCTTTGATCATCTTATCAAAGCGCACATTCCAACTCCGAGATGCTTACTCCAGTCCATGGAAGGATCGCTGGAGCTAGCATACCTTTTAGCATCCTTAGGATTGACAAAAACTTACTGATTTGTATCACATACAACCTTTCCATACGAAGACTGGTAAGGAAACTCGTTTTGTCATCCGTCTGCCAGATTTCATAAATGCAGCTAATGCTAACATGAATCTGACGGACTTAAGCATCGCTACGGATGAGAAAATCTCATCGCAGTCAACTCCTTGAACTTGTGAAAAACTCTTCGCCACAAGTCGAGCTTCATAGATGGTGACATTACCATCCACGTCCATCTTCTTCTTAAAGATCCATTTATCTCAATGGCTTGCCGATCTTTGGGCAAGTCCACCAAAGTCCATGCTTTGTTCTGATACATGGATCCTATCTCGGATTTCATGGCTTCTAACCATTTGTCGGAATTTGGGCCCACCATCACTTCTCCATAGCTCATAGGTTCATTGTTGTCTAGCAATATGACCTTCAAGACAGGATTACTGTACCACTCTGAAGTAGTACGTATCCTTGTCACCCTACGAGGTACGGCAGTGACTTGATCCGAAACTTCATGATCACTATCATAAGCTTCTACTTCAATTGGTGTAGGTGCCACGGGAACAACTTCCTGTGCCCTGATACACACTGGTTGAAGTGATGGTTCAATAACCATATCAAGTCTCCACCATCCTCCCACTCAACTTTTCGAGACAAACCTTTTCTCGAGAAAGGACCTGATTCAAGAAACAATCCATATTGCTTTCGGATCTGAATTAGGAGGTATACCCAACTGTTTTGGGTGTCCTATGAAGATGCATTTTATCCGCTTTGGGTTCGAGCTTATCAATCCTGAATTTTTTTTCACATAAGCATCACAGCCCCAAACCTTTAAGAAACGACAACTTAGGTTTCTCTAAACCATAATTCATACAGTGTCATCTCAACGGAATTACGTGGTGCCCTTTTTAAAGTGAATGTGGTTGTCTCTAATGCCTAACCCATGAACGATAGTGGTAACTCGATAAGAGACATCATGGTATGCATCATATCCAATAGGGTGCAGTTATGATGTTCGGACACACCATCACACTATGGTGTTCCAGGCGGTATTAATTGCGAAACAATTTCCACAATGTCTTAATTGTGTGCCAAAACTTGTAACTCAGATATTCATCTCTATGATCATATCATAGACATTTTATCCTCCTGTCACAATGATCTTCTACTTCACTCTGAAATTACTTGAACCATTCAATAATTCAGACTTGTGTTTCATCAAGTAAATATACTCAACATTTACTCGAATCATCTGTGAAGTAAGAACATAATGATATTCACTGCATGCCTCAGCACTCATTCGACTGCACACATCAAAATGTGTTACTTCCAACAAGTTGCTATCTTGTTCCATCTTACTGAAAATGAGGCCTTTCAGTCATCTTGCCCATGTGGTATGATTTGCATATCTCAAGTGATTCAAAATCAAGTGAGTCCGAACGATCCATTTGCATGGAGTTTCTTCATGCATATACACCAATAGACATGGTTCGCATGTCTCAAACTTTTCAAAAACGAGTGAGTCCAAAGATCCATCAACATGGAGCTTCTTCATGCGTTTTATACCATTATGACTTACATGGCAGTGCCACAAGTAAGTGGTACTATCATTACTATCTTATATCTTTTGGCATGAAAATGTGTATCACTACGACCGAGATTCAATAAACCATTCCTTTAGGTGCAAGACCATTGAAGGTATTATTCAAAAATAGAGTAACCATTATTCTCCTTAAATGAATAACCGTATTGCGATAGACATAATCCAATCATGTCTATGCTCAATGCAAACACCAATCTCGGTGGTAGAGGGAGCGTGCGATGCTTGATCATATCAACCTTGGAAACACTTCCAACATATATCGTCAGCTCACCTTTAGCTAGTCTCCGTTTATTCCGTAGCTTTTATTTCAAGTTACTAACACTTAGCAACCAAACCAGTATCCAATACCCTGGTGCTACTAGGAGTACTAGTAAAGTACACATTAACATAATGTATATCCAATATACTTCTATCGACCTTGCCAGCCTTCTCATCTACCAAGTATCTAGGGTAATGCTGCTCCAGTGGTTGTTCCCCTTATTACAGAAGCACTTAGTCTTGGGTTTGGGTTCAACCTTGGGTTTCTTCACTAGAGCAGCAGCTGAATTGCTGTTTCATGAAGTATCCCTTTGTTCCCTTGCCCTTCTTGAAACTAGTGGTTTCACCAACCATCAACAATTGATGCTCCTTCTTGATTTCTACTTTCGCGGTGTCAAACATCATGAATATTTCAAGGATCATCATATCTATCCCTGATATGTTATAGTTAATCACGAAGCTCTAGCAGCTTGGTGGCAATGACTTTGGGGAAACATCACTATCTCATCTGGAGGATCAACTCCCACTCGATTCAAGTGATTGTTGTGCTCAGACAATCTGAGCACAAGCTCAACGATTGAGCTTTTCTCCCTTAGTTTGCAGGCTAAGAAAATCGTCGGAGGTCTTATACCTCTTGACGTGGGCACGAGCCTGAAATCCCAATTTCAGCCCTCGAAACATCTCATATGTTCCGCGACGTTTCGAAAACGTCTTTGGTGCCTCTACTTAAACCATTTAATTGAACTATCACGTAGTTATCAAAACGTGTATGTACGATGTTCGCAACATCGACAAACGACGTTGGGGTTCAGCACACTGAGCGGTGCATTAAGGACATAAGCTTTCTACTGATCGCATAATCGCTACTATCAACTTTCAACTATATTTTCTCTAGGAACATATCTAAACAGTGGAACTAAAGCGCGAGCTTACGACATAATTTGCAAAAGGTCTTTTGACTATGTTCAGGATAATTAAGTTCATCTTATGAACTCCCACTTAGATAGACATCCCTCTGGTCATCTAAGTGATCACATGATCCGAGTCAACTAGGCCGTGTCCGATCATCACGTGAGACGGACTAGTCATCATCGGTGAACATCTTCATGTTGATCGTATCTACCATACGACTCATGCTCGACCTTTCGGTCTCCGTGTTCCGAGGCCATGTCTGCACATGCTAGGCTCGTCAAGTTAACCCTAAGTGTTTTCGCTGTGTAAAACTGTCTTACACCCGTTGTATGTTAACGTAAGAATCCATCACACCCGATCATCACGTGGTGCTTAGAAGCGACGAACTGTAGCAACGGTGCACAGTTAGGGGAGAACACTTCTTGAAATTTTGTAAGGGATCATCTTATTTACTACCGTCGTCCTAAGCAAACAAGATGCATAACCATGATAAACATCACATGCAATCAAATAGTGACATGATATGGCCAATATCATTTTGCTCCTTTTGATCTTCATCTTCGGGGCTCCATGATCATCATCGTCACCGGCACGACACCATGATCTCCATCATCATGATCTCCATCATCGTGTCTTCATGAAGTTGTCACGCCAACGACTACTTCTACTTCTATGACTAACGCGTTTAGCAATAAAGTAAAGTAGTTTACATGGCGTTCTTCAATGACACGCAGGTCATACAATAAATAAAGACAACTCCTATGGCTCCTGCCGGTTTTCATACTCATCGACATGCAAGTCGTGAATCCTATTACAAGAACATGATCAATCTCATACATCACATATCATTCATCACATTCTTCTTGGCCATATCACATCACATAGCATACCCTGCAAAAACAAGTTAGACGTCCTCTAATTGTTGTTGCATGTTTTACGTGGCTGCTATGGGTTTCTAGCAAGAATGTTTCTTACCTACGCAAGACCACAACGTGATATGCCAATTGCTATTTACCCTTCATAAGGACCCTTTTCATCGAATCCGTTCCGACTAAAGTGGGAGAGACTGGCACCCGCTAGCCACCTTATGCATCAAGTGCATGTCAATCGGTGGAACCTGTCTCACGTAAGAGTACGTGTAAGGTCGGTCCGGGCCGCTTCATCCCACAATACCGTCGAAACAAGATTGGACTAGTAACGGTAAGAATATTGAACAACATCAACGCCCACAACTACTTTGTGTTCTACTCGTGCAAAGAATCTACGCAATAGACCTAGCTCATGATGCCTCTGTTGGGGAACGTAGCAGAAATTCAAAATTTTCCTACGTGTCACCAAGATCTATCTATGGAGAGACCAGCAACGAGTAGAAAGAGAGTGCATCTACATACCCTTGTAGATCGCTAAGCGGAAGCGTTCAAGTGAACGGGGTTGATGGAGTCGTACTCGTCGTGATTCAAATCACCGATGATCAAGTGCCGAACGCACGGCACCTCCGCGTTCAACACACATACAGCCCGGTGACGTCTCCCAAGCCTTGATCCAGCAAGGAGAGAGGGAGAGGTTGAGGAAGACTCCATCCAGCAGCAGCACAACGGCGTGGTGGTGGTGGAGGAGCGTGGCAATCCTGCAGGGCTTCGCCAAGCACCGCGGGAGAGGAGGAGTACTTGTGAGAGGGGGAGGGCTGCACCAGAACTTCGTCTATAGCTCCCATGCGCCTCCCCACTATATATAGGGGTGGAGGGGCTGGTTTCTTGCCCTCCAAGTCCATTGGGGCGTTGGCCAAGGTCGGAGGAAAGAAATCTCATTATTTCCTTCCCCACCGATTGTTATCCCCCTTTTTAGGGATCTTGATCTTATCCCTTCGGGATATGATCTTATTCCTTCTAAGGGGGGATCTTGGTGCGCCTTGACCAGGGGTGTGGGGCCTTGCCCCCACTACCCACGTCCATGTGGGTCCCCCCATGCAGGTGGCCCCCACTCCGGAACCTTCTAGAACCTTCCCGGTACAATACCGAAAAATCCCGAACATTTTCCGGTGGCCAAAATAGGACTTCCCATATATAAATCTTTACCTCCGGACCATTCCGGAACTCCTCGTGACGTCCGGGATCTCATCCGGGACTCCGAACAACATTCGGTAACCACATACAAACTTCCTTTATAACCCTAGCGTCATCGAACCTTAAGTGTGTAGACCCTACGGGTTCGGGAGACATGTAGACATGACCGAGACGTTCTCCGGTCAATAATCAACAGCGGGATCTGGATACCCATGATGGCTCCCACATGTTCCACGATGATCTCATCGGATGAACCACGATGTCAAGGACTTAATCAATCCCGTATTCAATTCCATTTGTCTATCGGTATGTTACTTGCCCGAGATTCGATCGTCGGTATCCAATACCTTGTTCAATCTCGTTACTGGCAAATCACTCTACTCGTTCCGTAACACATCATCCCGTGATCAACTCCTTGGTCACATTGCGCATATGATGATGTCCTACCGAGTGGGCCCAGAGATACCTCTCCATTTACACGGAGTGACAAATCCCAGTCTCGATCCGCATAAAACAATAGATACTTTCGGAGATACCTGTAGTGCACCTTTATAGTCACCCAGTTACGTTGTGACGTTTGATACACCCAAAGCACTCCTACGGTATCCAGGAGTTACACGCTCTCATGGTCGAAGGAAGAGATACTTGACATTGGCAAAGCTCTAGCAAATGAACTACATGATCTTTTGTGCTAGTCTTAGGATTGGGTCTTGTCCATCACATCATTCTCCTAATGATGTGATCCCGTTATCAACGACATCCAATGTCTATAGCCAGGAAACCATGACTATCTGTTGATCACAACGAGCTAGTCAACTAGAGGCTCACTAGGGACATATTGTGGTCTATGTATTCACACGTGTATTACGATTTCCGGATAATACAGTTATAGCATGAATAAAAGACAATTATCATGAACAAGGAAATATAATAATAATACTTTTATTATTGCCTCTAGGGCATATTTCCAACAATACAAACTAAGATGAATTCATACATACCACAATAGTATTATTGACTTTTTGATTCAAAGGGACCCCGCTAGTATTCTCGTCTCGTCTTATACACTTAACTTCTTTTCCTCCGAGGGCTAGAATAAGGCATGCTAATAGAATGGTGACACTAACATATGTATTTTCTTTCATGGTGGAAATATGAAATGTTTGTTTTGTTAATGTGTCTACCATCATATTTATAAGGTTCCAAACTATCTTGAAATGAATGGTTGTTATTTAAGAACAACAATAACTTGCATTGATGGGTTACAGATATAATATATAAAAAGCATGGTATTAATTGCATAATATACACTAATCGTACTACCTCTTGGTTTTTTATTAACAAAATCTTGAAGTACTAATGCCAAAAAATATTCGACTTATGTATTAAATGGAAAGATCTTCACAATTATTGTCCTATATTTATAATGTTAGCCCTAGGTGACATGTCATATATATTGTAGATAAGATAAGATAGTTGTACGACCTTTTGGTTTCTTATTATTGAAATCTTGGAGTAGTGCCCAAAAAAATATTCGAGTTATGTAATAAAAAAGTCATCAATTAATGTCCTATATGGATAATGTTCACTAGAGTAGAATGCTCTCCACATAGTGTGCATGTACAAGATGCATCACTCTCTCCTTGCACCATGTCTGCTATGTCAATGTGAATGTGAAAGTATTGAGTCTTGAGACCCCATATGAGTTAAAGGTAGGGTTCCTATTCTATGAAGCTCTATCTACCATTGATAAAACTTTCTATGAAATCGTTACTTACCTAAACTGTCTAATTAAGATGGTTGCAAGTGTGGTAGATAAAGTAGTAAAGAAAATAAAAATAAAAGTTAGTCTTTGAAAAGTAAAGTTGTAACTGAAGTAAAACATGGCTTGTGTGTGTGTTTGTTTGTGGAGGAGGTTTGTGGTGTTGTAGTGGTTCCAATGGGAGAAAGTGTTGTAGGCTATTAATAGTGTAGTAATAAAGTGATTGTGAAACTGTATCCAATCCCCAATGTGGATTCCGATACTTCAAGCCAACATATCTTGAAGAACTATGCTATAAGTTTATTCCAGACAAAGTTCTTCACTGGAACAACAATCGAATGGAAGGTGACCCTAAAAGGCTTTAAGACAAGTGTTGGCCAAGTCATGTGATTGTTCATTTTCAATTTAGTGATCCAAGATCACATTGAGTCTTTAGGAGTGCCGATACTATAAAAAGGGGAAGAGGATGTGAAAACGAGCTATTTGCTTTAGGTGCTCAAAGATCAAACTACTCAAACCACCCCAAGAAATTCCACTATAACTACCTATTAAATTTCACCTTGGTGCCGTTGAATTACTTACATCAAGATCCACTAAGACACTCATACAGACGTTTGTTCCAAACCCTACTTCATTCAAAGCCTCCAACATCCCACTCAGATTTACTAAAGCGATGTGGTAATTAAAATTTCTGTGATGATGTCCGAAATTCCAAGCAAAATTTGTCAGAACTTTCAAAGAGACTATAGAGAGTGCGTCATGTGCCAAGGTACTCACCTCGGAGCCACCGACCGAAATCTTTCGAGCCAACCAATTGAATCCAAAGTTGTCACTTTTGTTCAACTTGGACCCACCGAACCATTCATGTTAGAGTCTTCGTGATGTGCATAAAGTGTGTCATAGACATATTTCTAGTCCAACTTATTTATACGCCCATGTATCCCACCGGTTCATTTCGAAGAAAAATCCACTCCTACCATTTTCTTTGAGAGAGAAATCCTCCCACTTGTGTTGATTTGAATGGACAATCCACTCCAACCATCCATCAATCCTATGAGATCTCACTAGTAGGAAAAACCTTATACAGATATCTAATTTGTGGAGCCATCACAATACAAGACACTACTGGTATTTTTGCAAAATATTAGTGATGTGTGAAACTACATTGATGCTATTGACATTAAGAAACTTGTGGCCTGCAAAACACAACTAATGAATGGGCCTAAACATATGGAGTCGCATAGTCATTCTAGTGGCATATAAACTTTTCTACACTAGTTGTTCACTTACTAGTTGACACAGTGTCCAGGACTAGGGAGTGCTAACCACGTCGGCCCCTTCATAGTGGGTCGGGCCGAGGACCCCTGGATCATCAAAAAAATGGGCCAAGACTGCCATACTGATGACTACTACACAACTTATTCTTGTAGACTCGTGTTGGGCCTCCAAGCACAGAGTTCTATAGGACAGTAGCAATTTTCTCTCAAGTGGATGACCTAAGGTTTATCAATCCGTGGGAGGCATAGGATGAAGATGGTCTCTCTCAAACAACCCCGCAAACAAATACAGGAAATCTGTTGTGTCCCCAACACATCCAAAATAATTTGAGAATTATAATATACGATTCATTCAACAATTTAATCAAAGGATATAAGTGAAGCTATAACATCCCAAATTTTCAATTTGGCATGTTATATATTAGATCATCATTGAATTTCATATTTTATTGCATTTCTTGGTTGATCCTAGAAATTCTAAGCAACTCAAGGACCCACAGAGAGAGTTGGGGATTTTGGCATTTTCATATTTTAGTTTACTCAAATTTTGAAAAGCGGATCATTTTGGTTTTAATTATTTTTCTCTTCAAAAATATTTCATATTAAAAATATATGAGAGGAGATAATATGACTTCTCCAAAATAAATGAAATATTCGGGGAAATATTAAAATCAAATAAATAGTTTTATTTGGATTTTTGTTGCAATTTTATTTGAAGTAGAAAAAAAATATATATGCATTTTTCAAAATTGCATTTTAGGCCAAGAAAATGTTCATCCCGTTCTAAATATTCTATTTAGACGGTGAAATTTTGTTCTGGTATTTTTAGATTTTTATTTTATTTTCTAGGATTTTTTTCAGCAAAATCTATTTAAAAAAAGTTTGCTTTGGACCTATCGGGCCGAAAGCCGAGTCGGCCCAACCGCTCGCCCCAACCCCGAGCCGGTCTCCCGGCCGCGCACGCCGCTGCCGCCTCGGACTCCCACCGCAGCCTTGGCCCCTCCCCCCAAGCCGCCCTCCTCCTCGCCCTTATAAGCCGCCGTCCCGCCCCCACATCGCCACCTCGAGCCGCCGCAACAAGCAGCAGCAGCAGCGCCCGCCACTGCCGCCGCCTGCCGTGCCGCGCTGTACCCTGCCGCCCGTCGCCTACCGCTGCACCCCGCGCAGCCCTGCCGCCCCGCCGGAATCCGCTGCAATGCCGCCGAAGCCGCCGCCGCCGTCTGCTGGATCTCGCCCGTCGTTTTTTTGGTTTTTAGGTAAAACCCCCAGGGTTTTATCAAAAAAACCCTAGATCTAGTTTTTTTAGTTTTGGTTCGGTTTTTTTCCGGTTTAGTTATTTAGCGGACGTTCATCATTATGTTCGTTTTAACGAACGGTGTTCATCCATTAGCCGCAGATAGCGAACGTTTGTTCGTTAGCCTGTTCGTCAGTTTTCTTTTTCCAGGGTTTTTTGGTGGTTATTTTCGATCGCGATTTCAGCCCAGATCTTTGTTTTAGTTTATCTTTTCACTCGTTTGTCAGAATCAGGCGATTCAAACCCCTAGATCTTTGTTTCGAAGCCCTCTTTCTCTTTAACCAATTTGAACAAGATTTTGGTATTGTAAAATTTGACTTTAGTCCAGATTAGTAAACGGATCTTGTTTCTTTCGCAGTTTGAGTTTAATTACTTCGTTTGATTTGTTTCTTTTTGCAAAGCGGAGTTCTTAAGTTGAACTTTTTGGTTAGATCTTATTTTATTTGAGTTTTACCCGTGCTTCTAGTTGAGTGCTTATGTATGTTGTTGTTTGTTTGCGACAGAGTACCCGGAGTGCGAAGCGTGCTACTACGAGTCTCTAGGTTTTGCAGATCATCAGCAAGGGAAGTAACACTTTGATCATACCTCTTTACTACCCATTTGTATTGCATTAGATCAATCCTCAAACATTGCATGGTTAAGATCTGTTTAATATGTGGGCTTTGGGAAATAGATGATGAGGTAGAACCTATTGTCCTGTTTGTTATTAAAACTTTGGGAGTTACATCTATGTTATTCTTATAATTGCTATGCTATGCTTGTAGACGTGGATTGGGTGAGTGTATCCATGACAGATGTGAGTGTTGCTAATAAATGGTTAACTTAAGGTGGCTACTTAAATACACATCTGGGTGGATTGTTTGTGGGCACCTGGAGAATCCAGTGTTGTCCTACCCGGGGTTCCGTGTGATCATCCTAAGGTCCGCCACCCAGGCTCAAAGGGATCATAAGATCATTCATGCTAGAAACTTCCGTGTGCAGCCACAAGCTATTATGGGCTCTAGAATAGTTGATTAAGTAGCAAGACCTCTTTCAGTGGTGGGCTAGCAGATGTAGGGGAAAGTAGGTGTAACCGCCCATCCAGAGTAAAGAAATATTTTTCTGAAAGACTGTGTCTCGGTCATCCGTTTCTCAAACACCATGTCGTGCGAGAAGTCCAATGGAGGAGATCGAGTCTTGTGGGGAAAAGTGCGCAAACCTCTGCAGAGTGTACACATTAATCATGGTTAGCCGTGTCCCCGGTTATGGACATCTTGAGTATCTGGTTCTTGGATTATCATGTTGATCTCATCACTCTAAAGTAAATAATTTTGATTGGGTTTAATGATGATGCTTAATTGGGATTGAGTTGGAGAATCCTTCTCAATGTTTAACAACCACCATGATTGTTAAACTAAATTTACTCCTTTGTTGTAGGAAAAAATTGGCTTTATGCAAAACAGTAACCATAGAGCTTTCCACCAGCCATATTGCATGTAGTGGTAGCATTTATTCTCTTCATTACTCTATGTGTTACATTGCCAACATATTTCATGTGCTGGCCCGTTTCGGGCTGCAACATTTCATGTTGCAGACTTTTCAGATGATGAGTAAGGTGCCATAAGTCGTTGTCTTTCACTCAGCTATGCTGTTGGAGTTGATGAACTCACTTTATCTTCCAAGCCTTCTGCTGTTATCGTATTTAGATGGCCTTAAGCCATATTATTGTAATAAGTTCTCTTTTGAGACATTCAATGTAATAAGTGTGTGATTGCTACTCTATTATAAATTCTCGAGTACTGTGCGTGTCAGCATTACCGATCTAGGGATGAC